CCAAAAGACAGAAAGAGGAACACATGGATTCGAGGACAATTACAGGTTAAAGACGTACTGTTAATCAAACTGTTAAGAAGAGTAAACATTGTTTGGTGAGACTACACTAGCAGTGGTGCACATGCGCAAATAACAAAAAAACTCGGCGGATTCCAGTGACTACTTCTGGCCTCTTATCTGCTGTGAAGGGTCATTGTCCGAAACGTCATCTGTTACATATATTTTTTTCTTATTAAGGTAGTGTTATTGACAAATCCTGAGGTTTTTTGTGTGTGTGCATATGTGAAGAAAAGTACGTAGACTCGCGTAGGACATGTCGCTAGAAGGGGGTGACGGCCGATGCTCAAGAATACCGCCGGGACTGGCAGCTCCGATTAGCGCGGTTGGCTCCGTACGTTTGCCAAAGACGTTCAACATGCGTACAAGGAATGGATCGTGTCTGAGGGCACGTTCGCCGAGGTGATGGAACGGTGTAATGCGCTCGTGCTCAAGTGCACATTGGCGATGGCTACATCGCAAAAACTCGAGAAATGGTGACCGCTTGCGGAAGCCTCATCCAGCAGTGGATTGACCATGGCTACTGCTGATGATGATTTTTCTTTTTGAGTGCAACATAAACCGAATTGTCAATGTTAACACTTTTTTTTTATTGAAGCTGAAAGTACAGTACAATGTTGTATTTCAGTACAAAAGGACGATGATTTTTTTTTTCCAGAAGGTAACAATATTTTTAACAAAACAAATGTACGTGCGCGTCACGTGACAATGTTACGGGAAATTACCAGTCCACTGCAGGTTTGCATGTGCAGAAACGACAGGACATAACGGGAAACTGTGCAAACTGAAGCAGTGTCATTGTTGTGGTGTGGGACAACTCAGCTTGAATCCTGCCAGCACAGCTTTGAAAAATGTGCACTCTTAACATTCTCGGACGTACAGAGAAACCACTGTGAGTGCTGGTTTTGCAAGCCGTCGTGGCGTTGCTGTTTATGCCACAAATCCCTTTTTTACGAAAATAACCGCGTAAAATTGAAACACATTATCAAAACATTCACGACGAAACATGTTTGTTGATGCCATCAAAAGGCAAAACACATTGAAAGAGTGCTTTCTGATTCAAACTACAAGTTTGATGTTTTTATTTTTGGAGGAAGTCATATTTTTCACGGTTATTTTGTAATGCATCAAAGGGCCTGCAACGCAGTATTATCTGGTGAATGGGAAATCATATTGGCAGCTCCAAATTAACATTTAAATGCCTTTGGTTAAACCGAAAGAAAAAATTGAATGCATAATATGAACTCCCTTTGTCAATCTACTGCAGACTGAAAGCCTTCCCCTCACGCTCGTGTCAGTCGTGCCAGTTGTTTGGCTGTACTTCACCACACACCGTTCAGCGATGAAAAGGGGGCTCGTGAATGTTTCAGATATCATCGCTCTGCCTCTGATGTTTGCCGTGGCCAGGAGACAAATTCAGGTCACCGAGATTTTAAAGAGTGGCGTAAAAACCTTTGCACCGACCTCTCCCCCCCCCACTGTCGATGAGTTGTACAATAAAACCTTAAATATGCAGGACTCTATGGGACCATTTGTAAAAGCCAACTTTGAATAAGTTGATATGTGGAAGTTGCCACGTTAGACCGGACATATTGTGCGTGGCCAGTTTCCAAGTGAATGATTATGGTTTATATATCCACATTGAGTAGTGTGTTGCCATCATTGTTACGTTTTCATTGCTATCAGTGGGGGACACAGCCAAGATGAATCAATCAAATAGCAGGAAACGGACTGCTCGTGTAACCGAAGCAATTTGACATGAATAGGCTGGCTGCTGCCCATTACTGTTATCGAGTTACAGTTTTAATTAGAATTGCTTGAATGTCCTAGAATGAAACAAAAATAAAGAAGGGTTTTCAGCACCACTAAAAAAATAATGAAGCGTCACTTGTTCAAAACGTTGGGCTATAGAATTCCAGGCACTGATATATATCCTAAGAAATACTGAATTCCTCTTATCTCAAGTTATTAAGACCTCTCAACAGTGGAACATTTGATGCCCACTTATTTAGTGGCATTACAATGGTAAATGCTTGTGTGGGGAGACCACATCTTGAATATACTCAAAAACATACACATGCCAGCACAAGGCTCAGCATAAGCTGTTTTATGCCATTTTATCACTGCATTATTCATAATTTCATGAAATATCAGCTAATTATGCAGGGGTGGTGGGTATAGTGGTTAGTGCACTGCTCTACAGACTCAGTAATGATCTCTTTGCTCCAAATGCAAGTCGGACATTATATCTGACTTGCATATGCTCCCTGATCCATGTTCCCCTTTCTTTCTCGGTGTAATGCCAAGCGTTGTACCTCTCCGTGCTTCTTTTGTGCATTTTATTTGTTCACTTTGCTTTGTCAGCATCTATATATCCCATCTATGTCACAGCAGGGTAATGTGCACTGATTGAAAATATTATTTTGGCACAATGGTCCGTATCTTCACGTTTTTCAAGTTCCGTTTCCCAGAAACACTCCAACATGCTCTCATACACTTAAGTTGCCGACTTTGACATATTTATCCTCTGATGTGTCTTCCAATTACTTCCCAAAATATATCATAAATTGTCTAGTAGACTTGTCTCATGTGACTTTTGTTTGCTTTTCACAACTATCAAATATACAATGCCATAATTGTAGAAGATGAACATAGTTTTTATTTGGAGGGTGCCACGGTGGCGAGATGTTAACTACCTCGTCCGGTATACAGGAGGTTGTGGGTTTGTTCCCGACCCTGACACCTGCTGCTGTAGATTTGGAGTTTGCATGCTCTTCTCGTGGTCGTGTGGATTATTTTTCGTATCCTCAGGTTTTTCCCTCCACCTTTAGAAACATGCGTTTAGAGTATTTGGCTGCTATAAGTTTCCACACGATGAGCCACTTCGTTGAGCTGTTATTCGTGGCCAGGTCGCTTTTGAAAAAAGCTATATAGCTCAGTTGGGGGCCTTACTTGGTAAAATAAAACTATAAGTCATATAAACTCTCATAAATGCCTAGATAACAAAATAGTTAGAATTCAGTTAAACATTTACAAAAATGGAACAGCTATACTCTGACATTACAATATTCGATATGGAGTCAGGCAAGTAAGTACACTTTTGCCAAAGTTTTGTTGACAGCAGCATTATAAGGTGTCTGGATTGAAGAAATAAGGATGTAAACATAAATTGAGAACATTTTAACAAGCTCAAATTTGCTCATAACGTCGTCATTAAAACAACCAATGTAAATGAACTGCAGTATATACAATTATTTCAAAACTAAAAAAGGTTTTGTTCAAGATAAATGTGAGCCAAATGCAATATTAATAAAGAAATTGCCATAATTACAGCATTAAATTTAGTACCAAAAATAGCAAAATTTAAATCAAAGTTATTGCGTAAGCCCACACACAAATCTGGCTTCATAGCCATTGCTCGGTTAAAATTTTAATCGTGGAACTGAATCCAGATTGTCAAGCTGCTTGTCCAGCACCAGCCTAGAAGCAATCCAAAAACTGTATGGTAGTGTATAAATATTTATAACAAATATAAGTGTGGCAGACCAGACCCTCGTCATGCACTATAAGTGTAGACTGCACTTGTTTGTACTCTGACGTGCCCCGAATTCCGTGACTTATTCCCCGACTTGTTAATGTGTTGCTTCTCGCGGAGCGGAATGAATGGCGCACTTTTCCATAGCTCTCAGCGGCACGGGTTGAATGGGAACATACATTTCAGAGGCCGGTTAATTGTCAAAATTTGGATCGGAGCAAAAAAAAAAAACCAGCATACCTGCGTGCAACTCAAAAATGGCCAAACAAGCGTGGAGTGCAAGCTGACACGCAGGCTGGGCGTCACGTGCATGCAGGAGTCATGCGGAGCGAGTGTGATGGAAGAGGGGTGTCGGGTTCAGCTTGAGCTGGGAGGATGGGCGGCGGCGGCGGGGGGCGGGGGGACGTGTAGCTGAAATGGGAAGGTCAGAGGTAGACGAGTGTGGCAGGACGAGAGATAGGAAAAAATGGGGGAAGGACGGGAAGGACGAGATTATATTGAGCGGGAGAGAGAGTGGCAGCCAAGATAGGTGGAGACAGAGGGCAGAGAGAGAGGGTGGTAGAGAGGGCAGGGGGGGGTGTTGGAAAATCCGGGAAGGGGTTTGAGTATAAAGAGAGCGGCGTGGTGAGTTTTGAGAATGACAGAGGGAGTGACTGCAGAATAGACAGCGGTGGGTGAGGGGGTGTTGCGGTGGGGGGGCGGCGTGGATAGAGGAGCGAAGGATGGAGTGAGGGCTTACAAAGGCCACTGCAGTAAGATTGACGTCATGGATTCCTCATCAGCACACTCTATGCCTGCCAAGCAGCCCAAGCAGCCTGTGTTCCGGAGCTGCATGCAAAAGGAGTGCTCACGCTGACCAAAACATATTAATCGCTAAATTATTACTCCAACACTCTATTGTGATTCAGTATTCCTCAAGGCGGGGCTGGAAATGTGAAACCGCAAAAACGACGGGTGTGTAACCGTTTTTAAGGCAATGGCATTGTCCACTTGTTGTGACCTTGGGGGCTGAACATTAACTATAGAAATGTACAGTGCCTCTGAAACTCTTAAGATAGCACTAAGATAATGGATAAATTATTAAGTACAGATAATTAAGTTGGCAATGGAAAGGTCAATGACATATTTGTTCTTGTTTATGTGTGTACTTCCATCGCTGATCTGAGAGGTGATTAATGATGAAGATGCTATTATGGTGATCAGCAATGTAACATCAAGGGAACTAAGGCTCTGCAATATTTGCATATAACTTTTATTTACAGTTTATTCATCATTGACTTTCATGGTTCTCTTCCCCATACGTTTTTGTTGTATGCTCCCCTTTTAGATAAGGCCATGCCGCAGAGCCAATGACGATGCTATGATGATGGCTCAGAATGCCAACATGCTTGTTTGTTTACATTTACAGGCTCGGCAGCATGGCAGCTCATCGCTTCGTTTCTCAAGTTGCCCATCTCTGGAACGCACTGCATTGTGGGCGCGACCATCGGCTTCTCCCTGGTGGCCATCGGAACGCACAGTGTGCAGTGGTTTCAGCTCATCAAGATTGGTCAGCACGCCGCACCTACAACCCTTGCCTAAGATGGCTCTGTCACATTGTGCATTTCCGTGGAGGTCGCTGTTTTGTGAGTGAATTAGTAGCATCGATATAGTAACGCACACAACTGTCCAGTTGGTCATCCACACCATTTCAAATTGTTTCTTTATCTATACTTATAGACTTTCGGTTCCCGACAAATTTTATCACCTTGCACACCCCAATAAATATGCGCGTTTTAATATTTTCAAATCCTTTGACATCTCCTCATTCGGTGTAGAATAAGACGAATGGAGCTACATCTTTTTTACTCGGTACATTTATGTTTCACATTAATGTAATGAGTTCCCTAATGAATATAAGACCGAAACGGAAGGATTTCTCCACAACTCTGGCTGTCGTCTGATGAGGCTGGTTGTAATAACCGGCGACAAAACGTCACTCTCGAATTGTAAATGTTGTGGGTTTATACTCTCCCAATACACCCGTGTGCTCAACTAGTAACGTATTGCCATGTTTTGTTTACGTGACAAACCTTACTAATTGGCTGTGTCGGGTGGTGGTGGGTTTAATGACACACATGTACGCGATCTAACCCAAAAAAAAAAACCTCTTGTGGAGTTCCCTCTGCACCGATTAGAAGTTATGACAGCTGTCTTGCTTATAACCCTTTTAACGGCAGTTGCGCTACCGATTGAACTCTTACAAAAGTAAACTGTAAATGTGAAATTGCTCGATATGTGTACAGTAAGGTGTCGCGGAGCCGGCATACGTGACCTCCCGCGATTCATCCGTGCACCTTTCGATACTCGCACGGGATGGGAAGAGAGGAGTCAAATCCTCCCCGCGCCATCGCGCGAACGATGGGATTTGATGGCGTGTAACTGTAGTGTTTGCGCAAGAAACGGGTCCAAAAAAAAAATCTCGTGTTCTAATGTAGTGTCAATAATATAGTGTTAATAAGATGGTGTTGTTAATAATATAGTACCAATTATAATAGTGTCATAATAATATAATGTTGTGAATAATATAGTGTCAATAATAATATAGTGTTCCATCTGACCTGGATGCTACCGATGATTAGTCAATCATTTATCTACAGTACTGTACTTTATTAAACGTTGATGTACATTTCTATACATTTTATATACACTCTTACACTGTATATACAGTACTACACTCGTATACGCGAATTCACGCGGGGATACACAGAACTTAACCCCCGCCGCGTACTCTGAGACTGACTATCTTAAAAAATTATGTAGTGCGGTTATTAGTTTTTCCACTCTTAATGATCAGGTATGAATTATTATGCTCCCTGTAGCTTATAGCTAAAAGTTACGGAGCAATTTGTAATGGGTTCCCAAACCTGCCTTAGAAAGTGAGCATTGTAACGTTATATACTCGATTTTAATTGGTGGAAGTTCCTGTAAAATTATCCACTGCAACACTTGCAGTCATTATTAGACAGAGCCACTTCAATACATTTCCCTGCGTGAAGTGTAGTAAATGTATCTGGAGTTAATATTTCCTTGTACACGGGTTCTGTATTATAATCTAAAGCCGTATTGCTGTTGATTTACTCTGAAAACACAAATATCCCCTTATAGCCTTAACAGACTGTAGGAGCAAACAGACTGTAGGAGCAAGTGCTCCTACAGTCTGTGTGCTCCTACAGTCTGTTAAGCACCTAATGAAGGCCGGCAAGGCGCACGAGGGGGTGAGTGGCCATCATAATGCCCGGCCGCCTTTGTCTCCCCAGTGGCGATGTTTACACATCGCAGCAGGTACTTATTTGAGGCTGAGTCGACCTAGGGGAGGCCCAGGACCGGTTCAGATAATCGTCAGCGGTGTTGGCCATGAGCGGGAATCGAACCCGGGTGGCTACCGGACAAAGACGCGAAGAAAGACTAGCGCACACGCGCGCGTGCAAGCATTGTTGAGTAAATATTAGGACCTAACAGTCTTTTTCTATGGACACAGCCTTAATTGTCACTAGAAGCTGAAGGCTGTCCACAAATAGATTTAAACGAACAACAGTGATTAAAAAATATAGCTAATTCTGTTATTTATTGAGAGATACTTTATCGTCACGTAATGGATTACATTAGTATTTTTTTCTGTGACAGTGATTGGTGACTCAAGATTTAATTCACTCATTATATTTGTAGATTCAGTCAATATTTTGAAAGTTGATGATAATGATGATATCACGCACATTAAATATGTTCACGCTTATTGCATTGCCATGCCTAACAGCTACACATGAAGCACTTACAGAGGCACTTGCTACAAAGTTGAGTTACATTTATCAAGTGTTGCACCTTTTATAAATAACAATTATTTAATAATAATCTCTTTTATATAGCGCCTTTTATATTGAGGTATCTGAAAGTGCTATACATGGAAATGAAACTACACTCGCAAGTATAGATAATATCTAAGCGAAATAGAATGTAAAGCCATTGATCTCAAGCCCTTAAATATTCGTAACTGCTGCAGAAAAACAATTACGAAAGAGATGAACGTATCCAAAAAAAAGTTTGTTTTCTTGAATTTACAGGATGGTGCATTTGTGTAACTGATCAGTGTATATAATAGTTAGAAGGTGTGCGGTGGTTCGCACGCTGACCATGGCTGCCATCGGTGGCAATGCCCCACGTCGCCCTCCTTCACCCCACGTGACCCTACTTCACCAACACGGTGTAGCGTGGTTGAAGACAAACCTCTTGACAGATGCCTTCATCCAGCAGTGGATTGGGAAATGGCTCAATTTTTGTTCATTTAATTATTAAAATACTGTGGTATAATTGTAGAGCTATAAACAGTCATAGCTCACAAACGGCACGTGTCTCAATTAGATAAGCATATTTTAAGTGATCTTACCGATAAAATGGTAACCATGTGACCTATGATTGTTCTGCAGTTTCTTCTTGGTTCATATCACCACTGCTTTCGGGGATCATGTCTGCCCTTCTATTCTACCTGGTCCGTTACTTCATTCTGAACAAGGTAAGCAAGACATTCCTCGTGCCAAGGAAGTAATTACCGTCGGAGTTGACAATTTAAAAAGGCCTTAAAATTGTCAAAGACGACATTGCATGTTGTCCACTTGTCACAGTGCAGGCAAGGAACCCCATAACAAAAAACGAACATTTGTCAACTTTATCTTACAAGGGCCACTTGGTGATTCATTAGAAGGAAAACTATTAAATCTAATAATCTCTTTAAAATTAAAGACATGTAAGAAATAAGTTGGAAATTGATAACCTCTTGTTACCCACATGCTTAATTACCACGATCATCGCTATTGTTCAGCAATTCCCTAAGATGATTAAATTAACATTACTATTATTTGACAACCCGGACTCAAGCTGGTGCTTGCTTTATAATTCCCATGTACTTAATTGCTAAGCTTTTATGAATAAACCAGAAAATGTCTGAAATTTCACAGATTAATCCCCCCCCCCCAGTGACTCCGTATGCCCCTCTCAAAGCTTTTGCCGTCACAGTACCAACGTCGCAGTACCAACGTTTTGGGAAAAACGTCATTTGTTTCCTTCCTTAAGTTCGTCCATCTTCCTTCCAAAAAAATTATCCAGAAACGGATGATTAGTGGCAGTTACAGCCAACGTTTGTAACTGCGATTTGTAATCATGAACCTGCGACATTTCTGTAGCAGTTACAAGCGAGTCACTCAGCCATTTCAATGCTAAATTCTATGCTAATCCCATTGTCAAGGGGTGCCTCTGCGGATGTGTATGCCTTAACTTAGCTATTTCAATGCTAAATTCTATGCTAATTCCTTTTAACAATGGGTGCCTCTGCGGATGTGTATGCTTTAACTTTTAACATAGCTATTTCTGTGACCAGTCACAAGCTAATCATTCAGCCATTTCAATGCTAAATTTTATGCTAATCCCTTTGTCAAGGCTCTTTGTTCATCTCACACAGCTTAAAAGCCGTGATCTGAACGTGGCTCTCTCACTCCAGCGCTGTCCTACCAGACAGTCTCGCCCCCTTCACCTGATGAAGGCCGCTTGTGTTGTGGCCGAAACGTCGTGAGAATATTATTGTGTTATTTTATTTTATCAATTTATTATTTTATTCTCATTCTACGTGACTTTACCGAAAGAACCAAAGAAGATGAATCATTGCAGTCACGAAAGCTTTAAATCGAAATTTAAGGACTGTATTGTCTTGGTGTGGTCTTGAATTGTTGTTGTTTTGCTGCCTTGCCCGAACTTTTATTTAGTCTTGACAAATCTGCAGGAATGTATGCACGAGTGCAATTTTTGTACTTCCTTGCTATATCTATATTTATGTCGTTATTGACTCGCTTAATTCTTGTTTTACCTTAGTCTTGTATCCTTTCTTGTGTTATTTGTTGATGTAACGTACTGACCCGCCCTAACTGTGAAAAAGAGCCCCATAGCTCATCAGATTTCTCCAGTATAAATAAAGATTGTGATTCACACATGCACACACATTGTACAAGACAAAGATTCCCCCATGTAGCCTTTAACAGACTGTTAGGGCAAGTGCCGCTAGCTTATGAAGATCAGCATGGCGCAGGCGTGGGGGTGGGTGGCCAACACCACGCCCGGCTGCCTTTGTCTCACCAATGCTTATGTTTAGACACAGCAGCGTGATCTACTTTAAGGCTGAGTTGACCTAGGGGAGGTCCAGGACCTGTTTACATATTCAGCACTGTTGTTGGTCATGAACGAGAATTATGCTCCAGACTCCAGGTGCGTAGCGCCGTTGGGGGGGGGGGGGGTTGTGGGGAACAGTTCAGTCCCCTGGTTACACCGAGAGGGGGGTTTTGTCACAGGAGGTTACAGGCACCTGACCTTTTGGGCCTCCGGCACGTGCTTACATTGATTCTCTGTTCATGGTTCTTTGGTAAATTAATTGAAGGTGCAGGGGTTACCAGCTCACTCGCACCAAACTGTCCCTCCCCCATTAGCCCATTAGCCACCATGGTTTATGTGAGCACACAATTAGGTTAATCCGCTAACGTGTCTGCTTTTCTCCCATTGGCCTTATTCACAACAAAACAGTGTTACCATCTGGTACCACCAGGAAGTCGCAGTTTATTTTGTAAGACTACATGCACGTGTACTGACATTCAGATACGCATATGCACACAGATACTCGTAAAAATGCAATACGTAATCTTATACATACAAAATAAAGATCCTTTATATAGCCTACATAGACTGTTGGGGCAAATGATTTTAGCAAGCACCTACTAAGGCATAACACTGCACAAGGAGGTGATGTGGCTATTATTACACCCGGCGACGTTCATGTCCCCAGTGCTATACTATCTACCACATCAGGTACTCATTAAAGGCTGAGTTGACCTAAGGGAGGCCCTTAACCAGTTAAAATATCACCAGTCACACATGTTAGCTGTGGGCACGAATCCAACTAAGATCGTGCCAACCACTTTACCATAGCTCACCATCATATATATCCATAAAATACAAAGATATATTCACACAAATGCTCATGCATGTAGCTCAAATGTAAACTCTTAGGATGTTATACCTATTTCAAATATTCCATTGCATTAATGAGGTCGCCAAGCACAACACATGGTTAGTGTTGACTCGCAGAGCCCTGGGATGTGACATTGGCATCTCAGCGCTTTCAGAGTCTCCAGCCATCTACTTAATGCAAAGTCCCTGAGCACTGAGCACTTCTTAGAGATTCAAAGAAAGAAAAGGGGCAACTAATTTAGGGGGCTGTGTTTAATCTTCCAAAGGTTACCGATGTAAAACCGTTGAGGTGTCCATTCCCAGATTGTGCGAGCCATAGTTTTGATCACGAGGAAAGATGACGAATTCACGCACAATTTAAATTGCTTGCAGGTTTTGCGCACAATCAAATTCAAGTAACATGATTTCCCGTCGCTGTTGAAACGCGACTTTACATGTTAAACGATACAGCATTATTGATCAATTCGAGTTTGTGCTGTTAAAATAGATTTTATTCTCTTGGAATATGTTTTCTATCACATTTATACAACTTTGGTGGGGGGAGAGGATTTATTATTTGCAGTAAGAGGCATGGTGCATTATTTTGGCTTACCATTTGACTTATTCTGCAGACCAATAATAATTTGCTAAATGACAGAATGTAACACATTTGTATCTGTAAATGACATTAATGTTTGTATAATATAGTGTATCTCTTTGATTTTTTTTTAAAGCATGTGAATGTGAAAACTAGAAATTAGTTCACTTGAATTTCAACAAATTAGTTTTTTACTAGGAAAAAATTATCCCCCACATTATTACCCAAAAAATAAGAAAACCCAGGTTTTCTGCATTAGCTCAGAATTGGCGTGGTTTCATCCGCGGGCTCACATGCCCTCTGCCCGTGATGTGTGCACGCGTGTGTGTGTTTGTTCTACAGGTAGGGAGCGGTAGTGTAGCGGTTGGTGCACTGCGCTACAAACCTGGCGACCCGAGTTCGATTCCCGCTCTAGGCCAACACGGGTGACGGTTATCTGAACTGGTCCTGGGCCTCCCCTAGGTCGACTCAGCCTTAAATGAGTACCTGGTGCAGTGTGTAAACATCGCCACTGGGGAGACGAAGGCGGTTGGGCGTGGTGCTGGCCACCCACCCCCTCGTGTACCGTTCCGGTCTTCATTGGTGCTTGCTAACAGCACTTGCCCCAACAGTTTGTTAAGGCTATACAGGGGATCTTTGTTTCTCTTATTTTACAGGAGGATCCTCTCCCTAACGGTCTTCGTGCTCTGCCTGTCTTCTACGCTGCCACCATGGGCATCAATATCTTCTCGATCATGTACACCGGCGCCCCGCGTGCGTACCTTGCATGATCACGGTCCCACTTTCTCATGTGTGAATTTTGTGACCATATCCGGTGCACTGAGCCACCGGCTGATGATCACATGGCCGTAGGTTGATACCTCTTGAACACGAGCTGTGCTCTTGAGACTAAACAAATCTGGTCCAGTCAGGAAGAAATTAAATCTTGGCACTCTTGATGTGCTGAAATACATTTTCTTTTAGCATAAATGTCAAAACAGGTTTAATTCAGAATGAAAAATGTGGCATTGCTTTAAATGATGGCATACAGCATTAATCGTAAGAAATTGAAAACCTGCTGGACGTGAGGAATTAATACCCTTTGCATAATATTATGAATTTTAAATGTATTCCCTTAGATGTTAAAGCTGTACGCAGGCTCGTAAATGGGGCTTGTTTTGGGCTCCCGTGTGAAACGGTGCAGTGCGCGACCTTCGCATTCCCCCACCTCCTCGTGCTACTGAAACACGTGGTCATGTGATCACGTGGATGTCTCTTTTGCCTTCCCGCATTTTTCTTTTGGCTGCGCAGTTCTAGGTTTTCACTTCGTCCAGACGTGGATTATAGCGCTCATCACCGTTGGCATCTCTATCATCACTGGCATCCTCGTATGGTTCTGCGTCTGTCCCCGGATGAAGAAGAGGATAGAAAGTGAGGACTTAGTCGCTGCGCGACATAAACACGTGGTGCGAGAGAAGCCCCCTTCCACTCGTGTGAACATCCTTGTCGTGTTCTCCTCGGGCAATATGTAGTTTGCGTCGAGGATGATGACAAATCAAAGCAATTTACAGAGTAGGAGGAGGCGACGGCTGAGGCGACTGATACGAGAAAGGACGGACGGTGCTGTCAGCGATGTAAGTGTGGGGTTGAGGCGACGCGCATCAGGTAGCGGTATTTATCAAGTGACGACGTGTTTGTGAAAGGACGTGAAAGGGGGGATGTCGTTAATCAGGGTATTACTGTACCTGGAAAACTAAATAATTAGTATTGCAAACAAAACCAAACATCACAACAGAAATCTAAGCATCTTGGAAAAAGTTAAACCAACCTAACACTTTCTTTATATAAGAACTTTTGCATGCCAGAACATATTAAATTAATCGAACAATTAGTAAATACAGGTTCCTTAATCAGCTAATGAGCTTAATTCTATCCACTGGTTCCAGCTGGTTATTCTAATTGGCTAGAGAGGCCTGCATTTTGTTTGCCATCGCTCAAAAGCTGTGCTTATCTGCAGAAGACACTGTTGAGACAGCCCTTACCCACAACAACTACGGTAAGTGACTGCCTACAGTACATTGTGTTTATGACAACAATTACAAGTGAAAGCAAAATCTCGCTGCAAGGCTTCCTTATTGTTCCATAATTTGACTTACAAAATTTCATCAATAGACAGCAGGAGGCCTTTTAGAGGCTGCACACTGAGACTTCGCATCCTCAGTGTGGGGCATGCATTGCATTTTCTCTTTATAAAATGTAAAGATTCAGTCCTGCAATTGCTTGCTCACATCACTATTGGTGTAAGGGCCTCCACTAGATGATATGTTATCCTACTCTTCCATGCTGGCCAAACGTCTTGGAGGAGGTGGCAGTACCCACACTTTACCCTACCACACGTGACCTACCGATTGACTAACTGTGGTGTACTAATTTAAACAGCTGGGTGGACAGAGTTGGTAGAATTTAGAAACTTGCCGACTTGCAATTGCTGCACCGGAAAATGAAATTGAACCGGCGACCTCCAAATTACAAGTCCAGTGTCCTAACCATTACCCCATGGCAGCGTCGCTGAAGTTTTGAGTTCAATGTGCTTGTAGAATTCTTTGCATCTAGTCTGCAAAGAGATATTTGTGTGTGTGTATATATTTTTATTTAAATTCCACAAAATGGAGACAACACCCTATTGCAGAGGCCCTGGTGCCCATCCCCCCCCCCCCCCCCTCCTCAGCTCAGGGCACCACCTACTTGTCCGTGTGCACGCAGGAAAGAAAGCGGAGCAGGTACGGTTGCGTGCAGAGGGCAGCCCTGCACGTGTGGGCCGGGAGGTGGTCCAGAACCCCATGTTCGCCGATGACTCTTCTGAGGACCGGGACCACGAGGACGAGTCCTCCAAGCCGGCATTGCCCATGGCTCTGACCAACGGTGGTGCCACCGTGGTGCCCACCGAGGTGGCAGGTGCCACGGTGCCACTTCTCAGCCCATCCAGCGACCCTGGCAAAATCAAGGTGGATGGGAACGTTGGCAAAGCTGCTGCGGCTGGCGCTGATGGTAAATCATGCGCGGCAGTTAATTTAACATTTGAGTTACTTATATTGCAACGCACTTGTATTTTAATCACTATGGATAAATGTTTTTTTCTCTCTCTCGATTTTAAGAAATGTCTCGTATAAGTTTAGCCGACGGTTGTGTTTGTGGTCATAAGTTCAAGGACCGTTGGCCACTGTCACTGTTAAGGAGAGGGGGTGCCAGCTGCTCAGTATAGATTTTGAGGGGTAAATATGAGCTGCATTAGGGGATTCTTTGTGTTCTGGGAATGCGCATTATTTAGTTACGACTTGACTGCCAGATAGCAATTGTGTGTAAAACATTGCTCCTCAATAAAAGCTAAAACAATTCAGAAATGTAACACGCGAAACATTTTAATTTCACAGGATATTTTTGGTGAGCATGCAAATGCGTTGCTTGTTCAGCCTTCGCTCGAGCAATGTTCGTAGCCTCAAATCCATGCACGCCCTTCTCAGGCAGGCAAGCATGAAACTGCCGCTATAATGCATAGTGTCTGCACGAGCTCCTTATGCTCGCTGGGGCAGTGGTGGGAGGCGTGGGTGTTGCTGTAGCATAGAGCCTTCTTTCTGACAATAGGTTTTCCCCTGTTTTTCTGGCAACAAAACAGGTGTTGAGATGTTAAAACACAAAACTGAAACTTTTTACACGGAATCATGTCTGCATTAACCACAATACTTGTGGTCAGAATGCAACACAAAAAACATACTCTGATACTGATTGGTCCACACCAGAGACGGCTTTCTTGTTAGCCTCGTCTCAAAACGGTGTTAGACCAGAGGATGCCTTTGGTCAATCAGTTTCAAAGAGAATGCATTTTGTAAAAGGTTACAGTTTGGTGTTTTAACATGTCAAAACCTGTTTTGTTGCCAGAAAAAAGGGGAAAACCTATTCTCATATTTTGGTACTGGCAAAGGAGGTCCCAAGATGTCGCCTTCATTCTCCCGAGACCTGAAGTCTGTGATACTGCTGTCAACTGTCAGGGCAAACACATTTCACTCTGCAATGCCAGGGGTCCTGCAATGCAGAGACCATTGTGGACAGGGCCCGATCGTGCGCATGACCTGGCTGCGCCCGTGGGTGTGCACAGATTGTGTAAATTTTATCAAGGTTTTGGATCACCGGTTACCACTTCAGCATTAATGGTAATGCAATATTTGAACCCAAATCATTATTTTTCCAGCGGACCAAGGTGGCTTTCATTTGGTTTTGAGAATTCCCTTTCATATTCTTGGTTCTTTCGGTAAAGTCACGTTGAAGGGAAACAATAAAAAATACAAACCGCCACTTCTTTCAAATGTTTCTTGCCGTTGGTTTTCACACCTGATGACTGTGTTACAGTCGAAACGTCATGAGAATTTTATTGTTTTATATATATTTTATTGTTTCCCTTCAATGTGACTTTACCGAAAGAACCAAGAATATGAATCGCTGCAGTCACGAAAGCTTTAAATCAAAATTCCCTTTCACTTGTAGGATTCACTTAACCTGGTTTTGCTCAGCAAGCACAGGTCTACATGTGCAGAAGGGTAGAAGCCAGTGGCTGTAAGGCGTGGAGAGTTATGAAAGAAGCTTCGATAATTATCTGTGCCTGCGGGTGACGAAACCGATTTCATGCCGCGATTTGAGAACACCCCCGCCGATGGGTGCCACCTTTTATCTCGCGCTTGCCAGGCACGTCCGGGCGCCCGGCCGCGCTGCCTATCCAGGTGGGTGACCTCTTCAAGAACGACGGCTACAGCCACTACCACACGGTGCACCAGGACTCGGGCATCTACCGTGACCTCCTACAGAAGCTGCACCTGGGCCCGGGCGGTGCCGGCTCCGCGGGAGGGGCGCCCGGGGCGGCCCAACCGACGCACCCGCACGGGGTGCACCACTCCGTCTCCCAGCCGCAACACCACCACCACCAGTACCGCTCGCTGCGCCGCAACAACAGCTACACCAGCTACACCGCCGCCATCTGCGGCGTGCCCATCCAGGCGCTGAGTCAGCCGGAGCCAGTCGCCGCCGCCGTCTCCACGGAGGACAGCTTGAAACTCGTGCCCAGGTGCGTGCGGCCCCCCCCACCACGTAGCCTGCGAGCGGGCGTGGCACAGAGCGGCACGTACGAACATTGAATGCCTTTCACCCCATAAATAGCCAACCGCGCTCACCGGAGACGCGGAGGAAGGACAATATTTAGAAAAGCGAGCGGCACGACATGTCACGTGCTGCACCAAGCCCCGCGCCGACGCTCCAGGCCACGTGCCGCACTAACCACGCGGCGCGGCCTCGTGTTCCCGTAAAGCGTGTCCCTGCCTTAAAGTGCAGTCACGCGAGCCGACGCGCTTTGCATTCCTCGCATGAGCCGAAAATCTCCTTGTACAGTATAATTGGCAAAGTTGTTCTCTTCGTCTGAACCAGAGCACTGAGACACCGTAGCCGGGGGGGGGGGGGGGGGGGTCTCCCTTTGCGAACGGGACCCTTCCTTGCCCGTGTGTGTAAGCAAACGTTTAATCGTTTCGGTTTTGCGCATTACATTGGTTTATTAACGCCTACCATCATTTACTTTACAAGTTATGTGATACCGTTACGATTATCAATCGATTGCATTGTTAACTAGCAATAGAACCAATGCTCAGTGTATATCAGAATCAGAATGTTTCATTATTTTTTCAAGATAAATCCAATGAGCTATCAAGCTTTTTTTCACAGATGTCCATATATGTATGTGGTAACGTTGATAGGCAAGTATCTCATTGGAAAATCCTTGACTTGTTTACAAAGCAACCTACCAGACAGTCTCGCCCCCTTCACCTGATGAAGGCCGCTTGTGTTGTGGCCGAAACGTCGTGAGAATATTATTGTGTTATTTTATTTTATCAATTTATTATTTTATTCTCATTCTACGTGACTTTACCGAAAGAACCAAAGAAGATGAATCATTGCAGTCACGAAAGCTTTAAATCGAAATTTAACCTACTTTGTCCTCCCAAATGTGATAGCCGCCGTGTTTCCGCTTGGTCGGAACAGCTGTGTCGAACGCCTGAATGAGAGGTGGCGTTTGCACTCCAGGTGGCGTTCACTGGTATTGCAGTCACACGTGACCAAAAGATGAACTTTAATGGCTTGCCTCCTGTCGGGCAGCACTCGTTACACAGCTTCAACCTCGACAGTGACTCAGCAAGCACACCCGAGCATTCAAACTAGATGCTAACAACGTCCCCAGGATCTTAAGTAGGTCGCCTTGCTTACATTTCAGCTAACCTAAACGCCCATGGGGATTAGGTCTTGCATGTTTTTTTTTGTGTGTGTTAGTGCTTATTCTTGCACACAAGCCTGCTTTGTTTCAGCTTACGTTGTGCCACAGTGCCGTAATGAATTGGCGTAATTATTAATAAACACTTGATATAACAATTTGCATTCACAAATACAGCTTTGTAAAAAACAAAAAAATAAAACGCTGAGCTTTTAAAAGGCTCTGTGTCCCACCAACAATTGCCACAAAATAAAATTCGTCTTGGATACACAGTACTGGCACACTGGACTTGCAATCCAGAGGTCGCCGCCTCATTATCCTGGCATGGCATTTGAAACAGAATCATCAGAATATTTATACTGGAGGAATCCGATGAGCTAGAAAGCTCTTTTTCACAGATGTCCAGAACGGGCGGGTCAGAACAATGGGTAAATTTCTTCACCCCTCCCCCCCCTCATTAAACCTCTGTTCACCCACAAGTATAAATGTTTACACAGCAGTTTGTCGATAACCAGGTCACGTGTAGTGGGTTAAAATGTGGATACTCCCAAACATTCTCTAGAGGGACTGTCTGGAGCTCCTTCTAGTGGAGCAAGCAAATGCAGGACTACACCTTTTGCCTTTTCATATTTAATTATCTAAATGCAGAGGTAATTAAGTGTTAGAGCATTTTTTTATTTTAACATGCGAGCTGCAACGTGAAGCCATCATTCTACAATAACCTGTTCGTTAGGAAACTATTATGAAAGATCCCATAGTCCCATCCCCTGGCACAGGTTTTTCTTGACAAGCAGGTATGTCCTTGGCAGCTTTAAAGACCTGCATGGAAATATACCAGTTATCCCCTCCAACTCTGGCCGCATATTCAGGGATTATAATAATAAATGAAAGACTAAAATAAACTGTACCAAAGGATTATGATTCACTCACTCGAACCGCAGGAGAGAGAGAAGAATGACAGTAAATTGCGGTGTCATTGTGTGTGTGTTTGTGTGAGACTCATGGTACAGTGACAAAGTATAATTACATTGTCAACAACCATGCCATACCATCTTTGAGAAGTCATATTTCATCAATGTGCACCGCATGTGGCAATGCGTTAGGTTGAGCTTTTTTTGTTTGAACTCCCATCACATCATCTTCTTCCTCTGTCATGGTCTATCGACTGCTGAGTGACATACAGCCTCCCCGCATCGGGGATGTTTGATCATCGTTCACGCAGCTCAATGAGGGTTGGTCAAAAGGGGGGGATCCAGCATCCAATCAGATATCACTCGCTGCTGTTGTTAACAGTGGCTGGTAACTTAGTTTGCCACCGCTGCCTGTATGAACTTACCAACTGAATACTATTATGCCAATTATAATTCTGAACTCGTGAAAATATTACATTATTGCATATACTTACAAACAATGCATTGTCTCAGCGATTCAAACAGATTCTCACTTTCACAATGCAGGTGTGGAATAATCAATTCTGATTTACGCAAATGATATGCAAATGGTCTGCTGATATTCAATGCACAGCAATGGAGCAAGTAATAAAGCCATACAAAGTGAAAGTAAAAATGGAGACAGCTGTCATCAATGAACTGCATGGCTCTTCTCTTGGTGGTTCAAAATTGAAAGGTCGTGGCCTCAGATCCTGGTTGGGTGTCCACTCCGCCCTTCATTAAGTAGGGTACTATACTATTCTGTGGGGATGTCACACCAGCGGTTGTTGTAGGGATATAACTCAACTCGCCCATAGGAATGTGGAAATCCCATCAGGGCCGTAAACATGAGGTGGTGAGCGCCGTATCATGGCTCGGTTGAAAGGGAAACCACTTTGGTGTTTATTAATTTGTGTACGCACTCCTGTTTGAAGTGTAGCAACAATGCCAACTGTCCTGTGCATTTTTTTTATATCATTTATTAATTTCTCCGTTTTGGTTTCTTAACACATTTCTCTTTAGTGGCTGCTCTTTCATCCTTACTTGTGTTCATCTTAATAATCATTATTAATTTCAATTACATTGTAATTATCACCATCGTCATTTGTCCCATTCGCCCAAAAATGTACCATATTATCATCAGATCTCGGAAGCTGAACACTTGCTTATCCAGGATAGTGCTTGAATGGGTGACCACCATACACACACAGGTAGTTATATGGACTGTGCGGCTACGTGGAGGGCAGTGTACCATAATCCATAGTTGTACATATACCGTACTTCCACGCTCCCGAATCTGTGTTCCCAGCATTCAACAAAGCGCGCTGACCAGCGTTGTTGAAGTATGGTCAAATAACCCTCACTGCTACCTCTCCAGTCGTTGGGAAGCCCTCATCCAGCAGTGAATTGACTAGATGGCCATACATGGACTGTACATGTACGATAGGTGATGGTGATAGCCAATTAGGGGTCCTAAGAAAATTATACTTGGGGACTGCTCGTTAAAATTATAAAGTGAGATTACAGAAGAGTTAAATTTCGATTTAAAGCTTTCGTGACTGCAATGATTCATGTTCTTTGGTTCTTTCGGTAAAGTCACGTAGAATGAGAATAAAATAATAAATTGATAAAATAAATACCGAAAGAACCAAAGAAGATACAGAAGAGTTTTATACAGGAAATATACATTTAGTGAGAAAAGTTAAATGTAGACAAAAATAGAAATGTAATGAGATGAGAGATGCAGACAAGATAGAGATGGGCGGTTCATGGTCTTTTCAATGTTTCTAGACTTGTTTGGGTTATTCATCATCATCATCATGATCCATGAGCAGATTGTCCGTAGGTGTCCGCTGCACATTTCGTCATTTGTTTCCACTTTGCTCTGTCTCAAGGAGTGCCACCTCTTTTTGGCACCAGTCTCTGATGTCATCAAGCCATTCTCTTAGCTCTTCCTCTCTTTCTGGTCCCATCCATTTTTCCAAACAACATACCTTTTATTTTCCTGTTGCCCAACCTACATATGTGTTAGGGTTATTAGGATTTTCCTTCCAGCTGATATTTGATGCACCCCCCCCCCCCATGTGTGTGACGTATCTGGGGCCCTAAGCAATTGCTTTGTTTGCTTTATGCCTGGCGCCGCCAGGCAGCCGGCTGCTGTGTCCAGCGCACGCCACGCTCAGCGCGCATGCCCTCGGCCTTGCCCCCCACCCCCTTCCGCTCGTGCACAGGGCATCATTCTCCAAGAGGCGCATGCGGTACGACAGCTACTCCAGCTACTGCAATGCGGTGGCGGAGGAGGAGGAAGCGGCGGCATCAGGGGGGGGCCCGGGGGGCAGCAGCGGTGGGGGGCTGCTGGACTCGTCGCAGGTGCGCGTGGTAGTGGGGGGCGCGGCGCGGGCGACGCCGGTTGGGCAGGCGGCCGGCGCCGGCGGCGTGGCGGGGGAGACGGCCGAGTGCGACTTGTCGCAGGACGGCTCGTCGGACGGCGGCGAGGAGGACGACGAGAAGGACCCGCTGGAGGCCAGCCTTCTCTTCCACTTCCTGCAGATCCTCACTGCCTGTTTCGGCTCCTTCGCTCACGGAGGGAACGACGTCAGGTGGGCGGGGTAGCGAGGCTGCCGTCCGATGTAAAACGAGAACGGCTTTGGGAAATGTGCTACTGTCTTTGGCAGTGGTGCACAAGCACAAATAACGATAATGCCACAAGTTGGTTCAATAAAACTGCCACTAAAAGGGGAGATGATAGATGATGCTATTAAGAAGGCCCACTGCTCAAGTGTCGCCTATTATATTTAACAAAAATTCCTCTTCAGGGGCAATGTTAATCACGAATGTTTTGACTGTGGGTATATCTGATGTAGTTGAGCACTGTCATTATTATTGTACTGGGTGGGGGACGATGAGGGATGGCGATGGCTTAGGGAAGCAGGCTTTCATGCAGCAGTGGATCGATTATGGCCGATGATAACCGTTGTTATTATTAGATACTAATAAGGTTACTTGCCTTACCTTGAGGATGCTCCATTAATTAATCTCCATAATTAACCTCACAATCACCTGTCTTGAAGAGTTTTTAGGTCACACCCAGATGAACAACATCAGATTTCGTGTCATTTTTCTTCAACCAAAATTTTTCTTTTGAAGATTAATTTTTACTCAATAAATATATCTAGCTGAACTGAAAGTTGAAGTTCAGTGTTGTTGGCATATATATGTAGGATTTCACAATTTTTCCTGCATCACATACTTTTTACAAATCGTATTTTATTTATGTTTGAATGTGACGATAATGAAGATAAATTACTAAACATATTCATCATTGATGATGACCCCATGCCTTGATAATCCCTAGTCCAGCTCGCACCATCCTCATGTGTGGGGTGCACTGCCCAGCACGGTTGCCCAACTGCACACGGTCACGTCCATGCTGGTGCCCCCCCCCACCCCCCCCCCCCCGTGTGTGTCGTGCCTTCCAGCAATGCGATTGGACCGCTGGTCGCGCTGTGGCTCATCTACACGGAGGGCTCGGTGATGCAGAAAGCCGCGACGCCAGTGTGGCTGCTGTTGTACGGGGGCTTGGGCATCTGCATCGGCCTGTGGGTGTGGGGCCGCCGGGTCATCCAGACCATGGGCAAGGACCTCACTCCCATCACGCCGTCGAGGTGAGGAAAACCGCCGCATTGCCAGACGCGGCGGTGGGTTGCGGGCGAGAGGGGAGAGGGATGATCCGAGTACGTCAAAATCTAAATCTGCCTACGATTTGGCTGATTAAACTGCACGAAAACATGGGTCTGCGAGGCTGATGGAGCTAAATGTAATTTCATCTTTGAGCACTAAAAGAGATTTGTTGTCTTATGTATTTATAATTCAGTTTACTGTACGTGTACATTGCACAATGTACAATTTGGAATGCATCTTAAGGGAAGAGATACCGGTACTTCGCGTATATGGGCATGGCTTGCTCAGAAAATATGTTATTGTTTAATAAACTGTAAATGTTACAATTTCATATATAAAATGATTAATATATCGTCTAAAGAATGACCATGTAAATGCAAATATGAAATGTGTATTGGTGGCTGCAGGGATGAGGTGTATATAGTAATTGTGAACATTGTGGAGCCAACTTTGTGGTGATGAAGTATGATGTATTTGCCTATTATTTAAAAAAAGCTGTTCCAAGACTTAATATTTTGCACCACAGCTTATAATTCTTTCAATTACTATTTTGACACGTCTTTACCCAGGAGAGCCTCACTGAGGATCGTGACTCTCTTTCAGGAGGATCCTACCAAGTTTTTTTGTTTGCACCGTGGGGCGATGATTGCAATGCAATGTATATTCCAACCGAGTAATTTGCTGGTAATTTTTCTTACAACTTGCAAATTTGGACCGTGACGCAGGCACGCAAATGATGTCGCGTGATCTTCTAACGCCAACCGTGAAGCAGACCGTGCATATTTACAAAGTTAATGCGTGTGGGCCATTAATTAGGGTGGTTGCTGGATTCGAACCGACAGCCTCCGCAACATGTCAGGGTGACTTTATTGCATTGCTCCTTTTCTCGAGATTTTAAAAAGTCTGCAGGTGTTCTCAACAGTATTAAAATGTTAGGTTCTGACTTTGTGTCTTGTGAACGTAGTGGTATCGCGCTTTCCCTTGAGATCAAAGTTGATCTACTTCAGCCCCAAAAACCTTGGTTCCCAAGGACCTTATTGATAAGAGCACTGTTCTCAGAAGAATAGTACATCAGCTGTCCCATCCAGGTCACTGCACAAAAGCTCGTACGGCACTTTTTTCAGAAGGAAAAGGTTTCACGGAAGTGGCAAAGCCAAAATTTGCAAAAATAGGACTACATTGTGTTAATTCAATGCTATAAAAAGCAATGCATTCTCATTTCTAATCAATGGGGGACTGCATTTATAATTTCTGTATTCTCTGAACTTTTCAAAATAAAAAAGAAACTCGATGAAGGAAATAGGAGAAAAACTAACGTGACTCAGGAAAGTCCTAAAAAATCCATAAAATCATGGCTGAGCATCACACAAGGCCCTAAACATCGTCATTGTACATGTGTAAAAATCCCTGAATTTATTTTTAACATCATATGTCATGGACTGTAAACATATATTTAATTTTCAGTTGATACATTTTTATACATATTTTAGTACAATGCATTATTAATGGTGATAATTACTGGGTCTCTTGGGCTCTGTTTATTTTACTGATTTTACTGGTTACTTTTTGCTCCATTGCCTCGAGGCTCAATATTACAAAGCAGCTTTAATTATTAACACTGCAGCAATCTACGTAATGTCACATTCTTTACTTATAATTTCATCTTTGTTCAGAAAAAAAACCCATCTCTGTACTTGGTGAAACACGGAGAGGTTGATAAATAATATTTTGCTTGTAGCCAAATCGTTTCATAACAAATACATTTGATACATACCCGTTTAGTATTTTTCGTATGATAACGATACACGATTTACATTACTTTCACATTATTTTTGTCACGCCTTATGGAGCTTGGCCACGTCGGCTTTCGGCCCGCTTTCGGCACTATACGACCCGTCGGTCCCCCTTGCTTGAATGCATTTGACGAGAAATGTCTCTCTCCCCTGCAGCGGTTTCTCAATTGAGCTAGCCTCAGCCTTCACAGTCGTGATCGCCTCGAACATCGGCCTGCCAATTAGTACCACCCACTGTAAGGTAGGCACGCGTGCGATGTGGTGGCACGGAGGGGCTACCACAGCGACAGAGTACTGCCTGTCTGGTCCGCAGCAGCAGCAGCAGCAGAAGCAACAGTAGCAGCAGCAGCAGCAGAATGTATCGATGTATGTTGAACGCCTTTTGTAGCCAACCGCACTAATCGGAGGTGCTGGGGAAGGACAACAAACTAAACACAAAAAGCAGTTCTAAAGAAATTAGTTTTCAATCTAGATTTAAAAGTGCATAGCACCAGTGGCTTCCTAATAAGCAGCATCAGGTGAGAGGCCGCCTCTACCACCTTCACATTATTATCACACCTGTAACAGTAATCATAATAGTTTTGTACATTTTTGGAATTCGTGCCATTCTTATAGCAGAAGGCAAAATGTTTCATAGACGAGTATAATCTGGCAGTCGTGGCCGATGTTGATATGTGCTATTTTCCAAATTTGGTCAAAATGTTAACCTCGTGACGCCAGTGCACGTGGCCGACTCTTTGAAGAATGTCGCACGATCTTTAACTTTCCGCTATAAAGCGGATGGTGCATATTTGTATGGTTAAAACAACCCGCAGCATTGGCCGCTGTGCTCTAACCAAGGACCTCCTGAAGCGAGTGGAAAAATATCTGCCGCTCGACCATGTCCACCTCCCGAAAATACTGTAAACATTGACTTCTATGCATTGAATTGAAATGTTATCAATTAGCATCATTGTTATTTCAGATCTTAGATGTTAAGTCATATATTTAGTTAATTACACTTCAGGAAATGGCACTCATCAAAAGTATAAGGAACAATCAAAGGGATCACTATCAGCAGGACCATAGCAAAGTGAAGGCAGACATTGCGGAAATTAAATTGATGTATCTTGAGACATTTTTATTCCAAGGACATTTGGCATGAGATAATAGCAGGAAGATAATGTATGTCGTAAAATAGTGTGGCTCCCTGATAGTGAGGAAGACTTCTAAGTGTGGAGTGCAAAGATAGGGTGACTTCCTGGAATTCAAAAATGTCAGCCCACAAGGATGCGCACTGCCTCCGTCTTATATAGCAAGGCGACACCCATGCCCCTTCCGCAACCCCGGGACACTACGCAAAAAAAGTGTTTGAGGAATGGACGTGCCTGCCCTGGACTCGGTTTTGGCAAAGTTCTCTCACTGTGCGCCCCTCCGTGCTGCACGCGCATCACATTTGCACCGTTTGTCTTGACACGTCCGTGTGTTGTTTGTCCTCTTTTTTTGTTTACAGTGGATTTAGTGTTGAGATCAGTTCTGCTTTTACGGTACTCGTAGCCTCAAATGTGGGCATTCCAATAAGTTCGACCCACTGCAAGGTATTCCTGGTTGCGTTGTCCCGTGCAAGGGATGAGCATCAAATTACTTGAGCTGCTGCCACTTGAACTCTGCCTCCACCGAATATCTGTTGCCACAGAGCACAAACAGTCCCATCGCAGGAGGCCGGCTGACGCCTCCTTCATCATCCTCCATGTGACGTGGCATGTTCCAATTTAAATAACCCTCAGCTACCCAGTGTTACTTGTATTTATCTAAGTGCTTGCAGGGTATTTGAATTGGTGCCTACCAGTCTGCATTGAGATGATGTGGAGACCACAAGCCTCCTCTCTCTTCCCTCGGGCGTGTGGTGCGCTTGCACAAATGTAATGTAAGACAGCTGTGCAGCTTAAAAACACGCTTCAGGGGCATCCGCTGTCACTGTAATCTTGGAAAAGAGAGACTTAATTGAAATAATCAGGAGATGAAACCAAAGCTTTTGTCATAACCTTCCCAACATGTACGGCAATGGCAAAAAACATAACTAGGTTTTTTTCTCTCCCAATTATCGTTTAATTACATTCTCCCTTTGATCTCGTCATTGTGTAGTTATGACAAAGCCAGGAATGTGCTGCATTGTTAGAGGATCGGTCAATTAATTGAACGGAAGCCGAATTGGAAGGGAAGCACTGACTCTTCCCCAGGCTGCTGCATTTGGCTGCCAGAGCTGGTGATGCCATAGCAGGAAGGCAGATTGGTGGCCATGATTTCATATCACCGGTGCAAAGTGAACCACACTTGCTACATACAAAATATGTTGCAAGTTAATTGCTACATATTTTTATCACCAACACTCGATGGCTTGCTTCTCTTATGAAGCCGCTGTGACTTGTAACACTCGTCAGGTGACCGTGGTTCTCTGACGTCATCATTGGATTGTCTCAGATTTTTTTTGTTTTCAAATAAATGAAACGTAGCATTCTAAAAGTGCACAAGTTATTATTAATATTGTATTGAAAATAATTAAAAGCTATATTTTTATTTTGTAAGCATATTATAAAATAAACACCGATTCAGAATTTTAAAAAATGGCTGGGAAGACCTACGTGTTCAGTACACTTATATTTACACATTCATGAATTTCCACAGAGGGAATGAGAGATTGAAACGTACATTAATTTTCCTCAAAAACAACAACAAAATTACCTTTTTGCCACCGATGTACATATTTTGGGTTGCTCTTGAGAAAAGCCCTTGGGTTTAATATTTTGTAAGACATAGGCTTAATTCACAACTGCTATTTAAATTATATTTGCCAGTGACTTCAGAATGCCTCTCCGACATCTGAGACAAAATTAAAAGCGTCACTCAATGATAATACAAATATTGGTAGAGTGGATATTAAATATGGGTTCCGTCTGGGGGCATGGAAAGTATAGTCCCAAATTTCACACTAGTAGATGTTTCAGGTGGTATATAGGGTGCAATGCGGGGACAGTGTTTGCTCGCCGTGGCTCACTGCAGCACGCTCAGCTACTATAAAGGGCGCTGGGCCACCTATCCGTGCGTCGCTACGCACGGTTATAGCAGCATGGCAAACATTGTGCTGTCTGCGTTCCCTGAACATATTGTTCGCTGCAGGCAGGACCTTGGCAGCAGCTCGAATATAAATCTGTTCCTGATGAACGACATTGCCAGTGGCGGCATAACGGCAATGATGATTAACATGATTTCCCAAACTTCAACGTATAATTTTTAATCTGCTATATGCACAAACCATGTCTGTATATACACGTAGGATTTCTTCCAACAGGCATTGTACAATTTTGACACGTTACCATTTTATAACATGTAATGTTCAAGATATTTTAACCCTGTTGATTTCTCAATTCGATTTAATAATCAATTAACCATATTTAACTCGAACACAATTTTATCTTAATACAGCTTTCGATAATTAAAGCCTTTAACGTAACAATGTATAATACCATTTAACTTGACAGTGAATTAATAATTAAATGCGATTTCTTCTGGACGAATAAATGTTAAGATGCAGCTGTGTGCTCGGACCGCTCGTGTGGTGACACTCCCCTACGCGATCCTGGCAGGTTGGCTCTGTGGTATCTGTGGGCTGGCTGCGGGCCCGCAAGGCCGTCGACTGGCGCCTCTTCCGCAACATCTTCATGGCGTGGTTCGTGACGGTTCCCATCTCGGGGCTCTTCAGCGCAGCCATCATGGCCCTCTTCGTCTATGCTATCTTGCCGTATGTCTAGGAGCGTGTGTGCAAGCGGAGAGGAGATCCGAGGGTCAGAGAGGAGAAGCTTGGGGGGGGGGGGGAGGGGGGGGGGGAGGATGGAGAGAGAAGGCTTTTTCGTAAAGTGTCAAGAAAGTTGCTGAGGTTAGCAAGGTGTAATTTTTGGTTTGACAAGTTCTGTCAGCTTTTGTTGTGGGGCATTCGCTCTGTAATGCAATGCAGAATAGTTGAATGGTAGATTTGAAATTAAAACTACTCAGTCGGCCTTTCTGCGGCTGAGCTACTGCTGAGACCAGAAGCATTCCTATTTGTGCGCACATCCCAATAAGTTAATGATCAGAATTCCCTGCAGCTTTTTGTTAATGCCTACACTGTATCAATATTAAGATCTGCACTATGTGTAGGGTTGCAGAAATTATTAAAGAGAAACCACTTCAATTAGGGCTGAGGATTCTGGCTCATCTCTCTTACTGTTGTTTTGCTCGAGTGCGCATGATGCATATGTGCACTCCACAACATATTCGAAACACATACACGCAGTCTGCATGCGACAGTTTGTCCTCGAAATAATGTGGGTGGATATGCCGTGTCCCACGTATACCGATTTTTTTTTTTGGGGAACCCCTAGAAAATCCTAATTTGGAAGAAAAACATTTAAATCGAACTCCCGAAGCTCAAAACTGAACCGCGTGCGAAGCATTGCTGACTTGGCATAAGCGGAGTCTCCACGCCCCCGCGCAAGAAAGTCATGTCCCAGGCAGTCCCAGTTGAGTCCTCTGCAGTAACTATTCTACACTACTCGACAGTGCCCTACTGCTCCACCACACCTGTAAACCAAGAGTTGCGTTCTTATCATTTTAGATTTTAATTCACTTGATACCTTAATATTGAATATTACAGTATTTTGTTTATATTCAATATGATTTGTTGAGCACTCAAAATTGTTATTACAAACCATACATGGGCTAAATTTAGTTTGTGTAAAAAACAAGATATGCCAGGGTACCCACCCCTGAATTACTCCAGTATCTCGAGGACATAGTGTGTTATGCGATTCATATCATATATTGAAGGACCACAGTCTTTTTTTATATGCAGTGTGCCATTTCTGTTGCACCTACAGCCCACACTTTTTAATTGGCTACCGTCAGCAGGAGCGGCAGCCACAACAACGTATTCCCAGCCATAGGAAGAACAACTTCCTGGCAAGCCGCAGAAAGATCCTTTTCTGCGGCTCCCAGGTTGAAGAGTTTGGCAGTAGCTTGCTGAATGGAGGTGTAGATCAACAGGTGGCTTGCGTTGGCGTCTACGAAGGCAGCCAGCACCTTAAAACTCCCATGGGTGTCTCCACGTTGTGTCACCAAGTGCAGTCTTTATTGCGGTCGAGATCGGCCGTACATTCAAGCCCTTGCCAACCCGCAACTTTTGAACGATCCCTTTTAACACCAGCATTATATTGAAGCTAGTTTCTGCAAACATGTCGGCATTTAAAGAGCTACCACCGGAGAAATGTACGTGTGTACATATGACGGCCAAAAAAGTATAAACCATTGTTTCAATGCTATTTTTGTTATTCACCTGGCAAAAAAATATTGAGGTGCAGTACAATATAATATCTGACTTGCCGGGACAGAGTTAAACATCTGTAGAAAATTATACTTGCACCATGCACGAATATATTGCCTGACAAAAATAAATTCCAAACTGTCCCTAAACATGGGGAAATACTTTCCTGTACTTTCGAAGTGAATGTATGCAAGTAAGATTAGCCGTACATTACTGCATGTAAAAAAAGGTAAAAATGTATGATAATCAATCGAAAATGACATTTACTCCACAACAAATCCGCACTGGTTGTGAGTAAAATTGTGAGGGCAGACACGATCGTCGGATATGCGACGTTGTACTGTACAATCCATTAATGGTAATGCTTTGTAACATTTTTTTGTATTTCTTAGCTTGATTTAACATTTTATTACATAGACATAACAAAAAAAACCTGTTGAAAGTATTGATGAATTTGTTAAATTAATGACATTTTACAATTCATTTTAGCAAGTTAGCAAACATGATTTTGGTACTTGCCATGGTCGTGATATTATTGAGGTTTTCCAAATGATTATGGCCGAGTGTGGTTAGAAACCCAATATCGGTTTCAGTGCACACACAAAACAGCCAGTAAAGAATTCAGTTTAACATTGTTGTACAATACTGTAATAAACGCTTTGTATGCGTCCAACCTAAACTATTCGTTCTTGAGTAAATGCAATTATGGGTGTGCAGCATCATTTAGGCTTGAGGTACCTGAATCAATTGTCTGTAAACCTGTCATTTTTAATGTTTTATGATAAATACCTGCATATTCTAATGCCAAATATTTGAAGCTTCTCATACATGTTCAAAATTGTACTGAAACATTTACTTTTAATTCGCATTCATTTTTATAAAACTAACAACATATATCAACTTTATAAAACGTGGTTTTAACTGTCATAAATCAACTGGATTGTCATCAGTCACTTAAGTTATAATTTTGATAAATATGCATAAACAATGTATTTTTTCCCCCAAAACAGAGGGAAGGCTTCTGTTAAATATAAGAAGACGCGTAAACTTGATTTTAGAAGTATAATCACACAATAAGTTTGTACACGTCTACAAATTACGTATGTTGCATATCACACATTGCCTCGCTTCTGTGGTCGGGGCATAGTGTTTTTGAATTAATTCATTGTGGTAGACTCGTCATCAGTATGAAACTGTATATGGGCTTTGTTAATGCACAAATCAGCAGCCACCACAATTCTCAATTGCCTCATGAGGTAAAAAAGACAGCTAATAATATTCTAGCATCTATGACTACACACTTGCTCTTGTGTAGGTACATAATTCATAAGTTATTGTTTTAAATACTGGCACATTACTAGTGTCATTCACTGTTTTTTTTTATCAACTTAAACACCTCCAAGTTACTTAGTCGTGCACATACACATGTAGAGGGAAGTGAAAACATTTGGAAATTGAATATAAATTAATTATGCACGTACAAATTGTTACTTTAAAAGCAGTGAATGCTTAATTGGTGTTTTAAATATATACTGGATGAATTACGGTGTGCATATTTTTTTTAATTCAATGTCTCGTTCTTGAAATGTTTAACTATCCCCCTGTATATGTTGTAAGATTTCCACTTTGCTGTTTAGAAATCCCCCTTGTTATTTTGGGGGAAATGTTAATGTACTAATGGATATGTAGTTTGTTTCTAATGATTTTGCTGAAATGGTGTGTACGGATAAGACAATGCAATCATCATTAATATTTAAATTATTTTTTTATCTTGCTGTTTTAACCAAATTAATAATGGCACCTTCCAAATGAGTTATCAAAACTTTATCCCTTGGGTTGAGCAATACATAGTTTAAAGTGAGGGTTGGAAAGATCTATATTATAAATAGTGGAATATGCTCTAGATGTGTACACAGGGGAGTGGTGCTTGCAGTTTGGGAACTGGTTTACAGGTGTATTTGTATTTTGTACAGCAGTTGCTTTTAGTGTATGAATCATACTATACAACCATAAGTGGTTTATATAATGCAACAAGTGCATACTTTGACTTGGCTTTCGTAACCAGTGTTCAATATGTTCAGTATCATCTAAATAGACAGCTCGTAATTGCATGACAGCACATGAGCTGTAATAATAACGTTTCCAGGCACACACCTATTGTTGATATCTCCCATAATCTCGCTACAAGATAGACCGTGCACACTGGTAGTGCATAAGTGTGTATGTAGAAGTGGGTGGGGGGGGATGGTCCCTGCTTTCCATAATGGAAAGTCGATTAAACCAGAGTAAATATGCCGCTTTCACTGAGAAAACTAACTCGAAAACCTATTTACCTGTATTCAAACTATTTACCTGTCTTCAAAGACCATGTTGCGGGTAATCATTGCATATATATATGGTTTTGGGTGTGTTGTAGTGCAGTGTGTCAGATCTGTTGGGACACACAAACGGTTAGAACAGGAGAAACACGCAAAATATATGGAAATAAATATCAATTGAATCCCTTCCTGTAGTGGACTGGATGAAAGATGAATGTATCCAGTAAACGTAGTGACTGAGCTTAAATATAATTGGTCTCTGCTCTATTTGGACCGAGCAAATGGAAATTCACATTTAAAACGTCGTCTGCTGGCATGTTTCCATGTCCTACCGTGCAATGCTACAGGGATTCCCTTAGTCGGTAGTGAAATTAAATGAAAAAACATGAAAAAATATATATTTGGGGGATTAACTACCAGAGTATGGTAATGAAAAAAATTAGCGTTTTATAACAAACAAACAAATCCAATGTGAAATTTAGCGAGTTTAAAACTACTGTTCATATATAGTTTTATTTTCTTTAAGAAACATTTTTACTGGGATAAATTGTTTTAAACATAGCATACATACTACACATACTGGATTAATGATTCATTATTGAAGATTACTTATTGGAAAACAAAAACGGAATTCCTTCAACTGGAAAATGTTTCTGTGGATTTTTGATGATCAAATTTAATACATATCCCAGATGCGTATTGATAAACTTGTGTTATTTTCATGTTCGCCATCATAAATCGTATATACTAAAAACGACTCCGTCAAATGTGGCGTTTCATCTCTTGATTCAAAACTGCCATAGTTATTATTTATCCCAGGTAATATTTCAAAAGACATGGATATTGTTCCCAGTGAGAATTCGGTAAGTTCCAACGCCCATTTGTGTGTGTGTACTGACGTGCGTGTGCGCCTGCACGACTGACCGTTTCCCTCATTCAGCAGATCGTAGAGTAAAACGTTTGAGATTGGACGAAAGCACTTGAAAAGCCAATGAAATCCGTTCAGAATGAAGTGTTGCTGTCCATTCATATGGGGGAAAAATGCAAGGAATGATCATGCGTAGAATGTTGGCAATAATGTATATCACATAATAAAGTAAATTCAAATCGTTTTGACGTTGGTTTCATATGATCTATGGGGTATTGCGACCACTTGCCACAGCCACGTCATCTTATGACATTATTACACTACTTTTTGATATTCAAGTATTTTTTTGTTCTATATTTACAGTACAGGAGTATAATACATGCATACCAGACACATTTATGTTTTGCATGGTGTTGGGTTGACTTATGTTGTTTTGTGACGCCAAAGTTATTTTAGAATGTTAGTTTGTTAGATACTTTCCAGGTCAAACTATTGCAGCAGAAAATGATTGTTAATTTTAGGAATTACATTTAAATCATTCATTGGATCTTACAGGCCTGTTGCCAGTAGTAAAACAAACAAAATACTAAACCCTGAAGGCTCCTGCAGGTATTGTATCTTGGAAAGTGATTATGCCTGTAAATATATGAATAGTGAAAACTGTTGCCAAGCCCTCTGGGATGCTGTATTACTTATATAGGCATTGTGTGCGTGTTTGAATTTGTGACTTTTAAAGAAAAAAATACTGCTCATTAACTTCATAGGTCTTCCATTCAGTGTTTTTTTTTTAATTTCTGACAAAATCAGTTTCGGTGTCATGTGTGCAAGTGTACAACAATGTCCTACATTTCGTACTGTAAAAATGAAATGTTTACTATAAATAAACTTTTCGGTTGAACCATTGTTGTCTTGGTACGTGTCTGCGTGTTTAATGGATATGCCTTGTAATTTTAAAATAACCACACATTGAAAATGCCAAATTTAAATATCAGCAACATGGATAAATCTGGACCATAATTTCCAGGTTTGTAAAAAAAATAAGCCGTCCGCTCTGTAAAACAGCTCAAATATGGTGTTCATTATATTCCTTCAACCTGGACTTGTGGGAAATACTCGTTAATATATGGTGGTAGTTAGCCTCCTCACATGTTTGATACTGAACATTTGACTATAGTGCTAACCAGTGAAAATGAGCTTTATAGCTCATCGGATTCGTCCAGTATAAATTATACTTAAAACTACAAAAGAATTAGCCAATATAATAAAAAAAACTCTCCTGAAAGAATGGTGATTGATAAGGCTGTCCTCGGTAAAATTGTAACGTGGTTAATACTGGACCATACATTATCTACATTTGAGCATATTATACAGAGCAATGTGTCAGTAAATTGGCCGATTGAGTCATTTAATGTTGCAAAGAATTGCGAATCATTAGTCATGTGGAATGAGTGATTTTTAAAGAGATATTTGGTTGTTTATTGCCCATGTGTTTTTTTCCAAGGTGATAACATTACGTAACAGCATACTCTTTGGTTCTATTCGGTAAAGTCACGTAGGTAAATAATAAAACAACAATAATCACTGTGATTATTAATAATCACTGATTATTGTTGTTTTATTTACTCTTTGGTTCTATTCGGTAAAGTCACGTAGGTAAATAATAAAACAACAATAATCACTGTGATTATTAATAATCACTGTGATTATTGTTGTTTTATTTACCTACGTGACTTTACCGAATAGAACCTTGCAGTCACGAAAGCTTTAAATCTAGAATACGTAACAGCAGTTGCGATACTTTGCCTCTTCCACGCATAAATGGCTAGATATGATTTTTTGATAATTTTACATATTTTTATTATCAAATTAAGAATAATTTGATTCGGTGAGAAGGCAAACATTTTTTAATTTGATTCGGTGATTAGGGATGCATTAAAATTCCAACTAGCAATGTTTTCATGGATATAGCAAAGTATAGTAGCAAATCAAATTTGATTCCAAAAGGAATGTGCCTAATTGTCTATCCTGCCCGTCAGCAGCAGCTCATCACTCCAGTGTGAGGCAATGTCGAGGACACATTTTAATTGCAAGACCCCAGGATATCAGTGTTGGGTTCCTACCTGGCCTGGAAAGCTGTTACCGCACTGTGCATATTATGTCCACCTCGTGGTGAACGTGCTGAGCAAGCCACTTGCTGTCACTTTGCAGTGTTTGCCTTAATCTACCTGTGCAATGCCCTTTGCTGGAAGTTGGATAGCTCACGGTGGACTAATAATAATGGGGGTTTTCCCCTTTTTTCTGGCCAAAAGGCGTACAGCTGTAGGCCTCTTGGCGTCATCTGGTCGCGCACCAATTGGGTCGAGACTCAAAAGAAAGCCGTCCCTTGGTGTGGACCAATCAGTTTCAAGGACAATGCATATATTATCATAGTATGTTTTTTTGCATTTTGACTGCAGGTATTGTGGTTAATGTAGACATGAATCCTTGTAAAAATGTTTCAGTTTTGTTGCCAGAAAAAAGGGGAAAAACCCTATTATTACATTTTGGTACTGGCAAAGGAGGTCTAATGATGATCACGGTGGACTCTTTCCTCCTCAAATTGAGCCATGAGCCACCACTATTGCGACGCGTGGACCCACTGCAAGCGTGCACGGATATATGCGGGGCAGCCCCCTGTAGATACGCTTCAAATTGTTTTTTTTATGGAATTAATGTAATGTGCACTGATGCCTACTTTAATGAGGGCGATATTGGCACATAAAATAAAGATTGATTGAACAGAATGCAGCTAACTCTTTTTTTTCTCGACCAAATCTGTGCAGCAGAGCATATATATATGAATCTGGATATTTACTTACGGGTTCGGAAACAATGACCAAACACATTGAAATACGTCCAATATCAGGTTTGTTTCAACACAGTGCAGCCGTTGCAGCAACAGAAACGTCAAGCCCTGTTGGTCACTCACAATATATTTCATGATGCCAACTAATTAAACGTGATAGAACACTAGTGATGTTTGAAGTCATTAAAATGGTCATTGTGTGCAAATGAAGTTTTGATATTTCTCCTAGTTGATATATTACTCATGTAAGTTTTTGTTCTTGGTCTAATATACAGGACACTGCATATTATAATCAAATGTTTTTTTAGGATCTTGGCAAATGAACGGTATCACGTTAAAATAAAACCAACCCACCAAAATGTTAATGATCTATTAAACACTGCTTTCGCGACCAATATTCATATCGGGTTTTTTTTTATTAGATCGCGTAAATTTGTCTTAAAACCACCCCTACCCGATATCGTGTCAGGTGGCTGTCGTTATGTATAATAATATTGTACACATGTAGACATACGACTTTTTTTTATCAATTCCCCGCTTGGATGAGGGCCCTCAGCACTCCGCACCTCCGATGAGCACGGTTGGGCTACGTAAGTCGCGAAAGAAGTTCAACACACATACACAGCGTGCTGTTTGGGTCATGAGGGGCTTATTTGACCGTACTTCGAACCATGCTGATCAAAGTGTGGGGTTGACAAAAGGGGGGGAGAACAGAAAACGTGAGCATCACGGTCCGAACAACAGCAACAACAACAGCCTCGCACAGCGCCTGCGAGAACCTGGCCCTGCATTGGTGGTCACCCATCCACGCACAATCCCGGGTCGGCTATTGTTCATCTTCGGAGATCGGGCACATTCCATGGTGATTTAGTCATAGGGCTTGTTTTGATACAAAGTACTGTATATATTCTTCGCAGTTGCCAGCCTTTTGATACGTGTGTTCGTTTGCGAGATCCGCATTGATTGCATGGGTTCGGCACAAGCGAAAATGCCACAGCGATCGCCGCCTGCAACTTTCAAGGCTATTTCAGTTTCCTCTGATACAACAGCCGTGAGACGTCAAAATACACAGCTGGTGCGGTCACTCAAGGCCATTTCCTTTGATCCCACGATGCTATTTAGGTGACTTAGCATGGCGCACGAAAAAGCACGCATTGTTAGAGTATTGATGTTGATCAGGTAGAGGGGGGGGAAGAGATGTCGGCTCTCGAGTCAATAATGCATGTTTAAAATGAACACGGAAACAAATGTTACTTTACAAAATGAAGTTGGGGAAAAACGGCTTGGATAATAAGCTACTTGCCAGATGAGTGTTTCCACCTCTGTTAGTGGGGGGGGGGGGGGGAATTTAAGACGTGAGCAAAATGGTTCCTAACTTCATCATTAAAAACATCACAGTATTTATGGTACGCCTCTCACTTCCAACCATTAGAAATGAATCAGTTCACTAACAATTGGGGGCGAAGACGAAAACAAAGACTTTTATACCCTGTATGAAGATTGTGTGCTAATATACGGGCATGCCTCTATTGCAAAAAAAACCCAGCTAACATGGTAGCCTTGGCACCTGTCCAATTTTTTTATATCATTGCCAGTCTTGACTACGTCAAGGGTGTGGGATGAATTCACACCCAAGCAGAGTTGGTTTAAACCCCATCATGAAAAAAAACCACTCACCTCATTGCAAGAGGGCAATAACCCCCACACTAAAACGAATATTTAGTTTTCATGTATCACGGTAAGCTCGGAGGTTTTAGTCTATATGGGGAGGTGCCACAATGGAGGTCTGCTTATATACGGTAGATGTGTGTGTGTGTGGACTATATGCGTGGGATAATTTAGCACAGCCCACCTCTCGGGAGGTAAAAATGTGCTTATTCAGCAAATAATTACATATTAATTATTTTTTAAAGAAAACTCCAGTTTTCTGTAAAGATGTGAAAGTTCCAATTAAACGTCAGAACGTCTATACATTTTTGCTTCGGACATGACAATTATTTTGAAATGGTCAATAAAGGGGGGGGGGGTGTTTTTTTCCTTAAAAATATTAATATAAACTAGCCAATGTTCTTATTGAAATACAAAGTGCTGAGGACTTGGGAGACCCAAGGCATTTCCCCAATTGTTCCGACTGCACCGCAAGTGTCGATAGCACCACCGTGTGGAGGCTGCTAGCAGCTGGGTGTGAAATGTCAAGCGTGGCGCTGTAACCAAGCTGCTCTACGTTGACGATCATGCATCGTGGATTGCTGTGCGAGCGAGGGGTTGGTGCACTGAATGCGATTTAGGCACAACACAATATACACTCGTGACCCTTTAGCCTTAAGTAATGTCACATGGACTTTGAAGATCAGCTGGTGCACACAGCATGGGCACACACAGGTTCTCCCATCAGCTTGGTGTCATTAACACCACCACGCGAAGGCAGTCTGCAAATAACAGTTCGAATTTACTGGATCGGAACAAGGGTGTGCGATTCTATTTTAACACTGGAATTGTGTAGAATGTGTGCAAGTGAAAAGGTTTTTCAAGTACAGTACTATATCGATTCCAAAAGGTCGTACGGTGCTCTCAGCAACCACTCCCAACATTTCGTGGGTCCAGATTTGCACACACCCTTTTAAACTTCACCCTGCATGACACGTTTATATATAAACAAATCAAGTGGCAACTGTTTCTTCGTAAGGCAATCAATACCAAATCATAACATTCATTTGCCCTCAAGTTTTAATGGATTTTGATCACTGCCATGAGACTGGTTTTACGGTTGTTTTTCTCTCCAAGGGTTCATGGAACAGTACTTGTTTGAAAATGTGACATTGTCAAGCAAAACATTGAATGCTATAGGGATACAAATGTAAAAGTATAAAACGTCACAGTTGGCTACGTATGGTGCGAAGGAAGTTCAAACATCCATACAGGACACACTCAATGACAGTACTCAGTGCAGAAAAAGCACCCTTTACTCACCTGCTTCAAACAGCTCAGTATTCACCAGATTCACCAGGGCTGCCCAGCATACAGTGCCCATACATGAAACGCAGCCAAACAAGTCTCA